CGATCCGGTCTCTGAGCTGACACACACACACACACACACACACACACACACACACACACACACACACACGCGCGCGCAAATATAAGCACAAAAATAAATGCACATACACACACATGCATTTAAAACACATACACATATATACGCACATACTCATACCTACACGCAAGACACACACAGCACACACAGACAAGCATGCATACACACATGCGCGCACACACACAGACAAGCATGCACGACCACACTCACACACACACATACATACATACATACAGATATAGGCACAAAAATATACTCACAAACACACATGCATGCAACACACATACGCGCGCGCAAGACACGCATGTACACACACACACACATGCAAAAATATGCACAAAAATATACGCACATACACACACACACACTCACACACACACGCAAGACGTGCGCACATAACACACAAAAACATGCATGCATACACACACACGCAAACAGTAAAGCAATCATGCAAGCACATACTCACATACACACACATATTCAGACAGACGCAACACACATGCGTGCACACACAAGGACAAGCATGCACACACATTAAACACATATACGCACATACATAAACACACACAAGACACTTGTGCGCGCACACACACACACACACACACAAGTATGCACACACTCATATACATATACACAAGCAACACACATACACACAAGCATGCATGCACGCACACAGACATGCGCGAGCACATACATACAGACAAGCACACACACACATGCACTTATACATACACACACACACACACACACACACACACACAGACAATCATGTACACGCACAAAGATATTTGGACATATACACATGCAACACACAAACACACACACATACACACACACTCAAATATAAGCACAAAATATATGCACATACACACACATATACACATACACGCAAGACACACACAGCACATACAGACAAGCATGCATACACACACAAACATGCAACATACATGCGCACACACACAGACAAGCATGCACGCCCACACTCGCTCACACACAAATATGTGCACAAAAATATACGCACATACACACACGTGCATGCAATACACACACGCGCGTAAACATACAGAGAAGCATGCACACACTCACATACACACAAAAAATATATGCACATGCACACACACACACACACATATACACACACACGCAAGACATGTGTGCACATAGCACAGAAAAATATGCATGCATGCATACACACACACACACACACACACACACACACACACACAACACACATGCAAACACACAGTCAAGCAAGCATGCAAGCACATACGCACATACACACACAAATTCAGACACACACAACACACATGCGTGCACACACAAAGACAAGCATGCACACACATTCTACACACACATATATGCACATACATAAACACACGCAAGACACATGTGCGTGCACACACACACAGACAAGCATGCACACACTCAAATTAATATACACACGCAACACACATATACACACAAGCATGCATGCATGCAATCACACAGACATGCGCGAGCACATACACATACAAACAGACAAGCACGCACACACGTGCACATTTACATATACATGCACAACAACATATATGCACACATACAAACAATCATGCACACACACACATATGTACATATACACACAAACAGACATGGACACACGGATACAGAAACACATACACACATACAGACATAGACAAGCACAGACGTATGCACATGCAGCACAAATAAACACACACACACACACACATATATATATATATACACACAGAGACAGACACGCAACACACTTCAATTCAAAATAGTTCACAAATAATCTTGTATAACTCTGAAACCGCCCCTTTTAGGCTTCGATCCTAATTGTGTTGTTTTGGTGACTGTTGCTTTAAATTCAAATGAGATTGTGCTGTTTTCAAGAGGGCGGAGCTACAAATGCCTATGTGTTAGCATAGTGGCAGATTCAAAAACAAGGCTAACGTCCAATGCTAATTAGGGCGAGAAGGTCACTAGTGGGCGGGGCTTTCCCCCCTCTGATGACATGTATAAAAGGAGAATGTCAATCAAAGTGTTTCTGCAGACTGTTATTATCAAGTGAGATTATTAAAAAATACAAATAAATATACATTTTGACCCTTAGAAGCTGGACTTCTGCCACACAACAGTGTTTAAACCCCTTATAAATAATACTTTTGCATAGCAGGCCCTCTTTAAAACTCAAACAGCACTGATTTTAGACATTGTGTCATGTAGGGATGTGCAGTAAACTCACACTGGAGCATCAGTTGTGCAGAGAGACAGCAGGTCAGACACAGACAGACCGCTGGACTTCAGCCAGTCCTCTGAGCTCTCCATCAGCCTCTGCAGGAGCTCCAGATCACAGGAGACTCGTCACGCACACACACAAGAAAACCAAGGCTCACTCACTAAAAATATGCATGATTAAAAGACCCTATTAAGATGTTTGAAATGTTACTTATTATGTTTTGTTGGTTTCGTACAAGAGGTTCACATCAATTCAAGGTCAAAATACAGAGAACAAACACAAATGTTTAACTGCCTTACACTGCAGCAGCAGCTCTTTACTCAGAGTCTGGAATGGCTGGTTCATGGATATGATTTCTCTAAACCCTGTTCTACGAATGCATACAGTGCTCTGATTGGTCAGAAGACACTACTCCAATCTAATTAGTCAAATGACTCTGCTCTGATTGGTCAGATATCTCTGTTCTTCTCTGATTGGTCTGATAACTCTGCTGTACTCTGGTCAAATGACTGCTCTGCTCTGATTGGTCAGATGGCTCTGATCTGGATGCTCAGATGGATCGACTATGCTCTAATTGGCTAGATGACTTTACTCTGATTTGATTGGTGAGATGGCTTTATTCTGCTTTGATTGGTCGGATTACTCTAATTAGTCTCATCTAATTGTCTCATCTCTACTCTGGTCAAATGACTTTGCTCTGCTCTGATTGGTCAGATATCTCTGTTCTCCTCTGATTGGTCTGATAACTCTGCTGTACTCTGGTCAAATGACTCTGCTCTGCTCTGATTGGTCAGATGGCTCTGATCTGGATGCTCAGATGGATCTACTATGCTCTAATTGGCTAGATGACTTTACTCTGATTTGATTGGCCAGATGTCCCTGTTCTCCTCTGATTGGTCTGATAACTCTCCTCTGCTCTAATTAGTCAGTTGTCTCATCTCTACTCAGGTCAAATGACTCTGCTCTGCTCTGATTGGTCAGAAAGCTCTGCTCTGGTTGCTCAAATGGATCTAGTATGCTCTGCTTGGCTAAATGATGATTGCTCTGCTCTAATTGGTCAGATGGCCCTATTCTGCTCTGATTGGTCGGATTACTACAAATAACCAGATGTCTCTGCTCTGCTCTGATTGGTCAGATGGCTCTGCTCTCGATGCTCAGATGGATCTAGTATGCTCTAATTGGCTAGATGGCTTTACTCTGATTTGATGAGTCTGATGGATCGTAAAAGAGCTCTGATTGGTCAGATGCATCTAGGATCTGGTTAATCAGAAGGTTCTGTTCTGCTCTGGTTGATCAGATGGATCTACAATGCTCTGATTGGTCAGATAGCTCTACCCTGCTCTGATTGGTCAGATGGCTGTACTCTACTTTAATGAGTCTGATGGATCTATGCTCCATTTGGTCAAATGGTTCTACTCTGCTCTGATTGCCCAGATGGATCCACTATGCTCTAATCGGCTAGATGGCTTTGCTCTGACTTGATTGGTCAGATGGGCCTATTCCACTCTGATTGGTTAGATGACTGCCCTGCTCTAAATGGTCAGATGTCTCTTCTCTACTCTGGTTAATTGAGCATTTTCTAGACAAGTACACCAAGTAAACCAAGACAAGTCTTGATTTAAGATAGATTAAATTTTATATTTGGACTAGGAACAAAACACTGTATTGTTGGTCTGTTAAACTAGATCATATTATTCAACAAATATTGTGCAGCAATTAAAAATGTCAAACTTAAGTGCGTTTTTTCTTAAAACAAGCTAAATAATCTGCCAATGGATTAAGTATACTAATATACACATATTATAATATTTTATATTGTGTACTTCATGTAGTAAGTATACTAAAGTCTATGTAAGTTTACTAAATTAGCAGTATATTTTTAGCATATAAAAGTTAAGTTTTAAGTATTTTTTTACTAACTAATTATATTATATTATATTATATTATATTATTTTAAGTAGTCCAAAATTAAGTTTCATTTGCACTCAAGTGAACTCAATATATATAAATCCGGGGGAAAATAAAATGTAATTGAGCTCACATGGCTATTTAAAGTTTTAATAAGATGTTTTACAATAATATATTTATTTGTTCATATACTTTTGATCAGTCAGAACCAAAGCCAAAACTGTAACTAATAACATATTAACTTACGATCACAGTCCAAAAATCAGTACACCAAACATTAATATTTTTAACATCCGAATGAAATGTAGCCTAAATTAACCGGAAAAGAAATCAATGGAAACATAAAAATATATCAAATTTAGTTAATATCAAATTTATATATATATATATATATATATATATATATATATATATATATATATATATATACACAATAATTTGTTGGAAGTAAACATATATTTTTATTCCTAAAGATGTTGGCCAAAGTCTTATTTTAACGAATTTAACTAAATATATATGATATATGAATATAACCGTTTAATAAAGCTTTTTTGTTTAAATGCCGCAACAATTAGCTATATTCACTGAGAAATTGATCCAAATATTCCTTTTCAAAAAGGTTTATAGACGTCAATCTATACCAGTACAACAACCAAGATTCAATATCCGTTGTTTATCATTATGATTTTACAGTAACAGCAACAACCTAACAATTCAGTGGACTTTTAAGCACATCAGTTAATAATAGTTAATAATCAGGTTAATATTGTTTTACCTCCACACTCTCCGATCTCTTGTGTCGTTGTGTTGTGAAGCTCGTGCGTGATGAACAGCAGATCGTGCGCGCGCACAATACAGCACACAGATAACAATATTATCCCGGCGCAGGAATCAGAAATAAAGTAAAACAGCACAGGGTGTTATTGTACGAGGAGTCAGTGGATGTCCTTGTGAGGTTCAGACTGAACTGTGAGTGACTGACAGCTGCAGTGTTTGGAATCTCCATAGCTACAGACCTCCATTCAGTACTGCTCTTTTCAACTCAGCTTCTGTTGTTGATTTATATATAAGGACACACACTCAGCATTACATCAGACTTACTGCAGGTTACTTTTCTCTCTCTTCTAAATGCTTATGCTGTTCTTTACACTATGGCTTTATTTCTCAAAACTCCTGCAGCTTTATGTTGGCTTCAGAAAGTTTCTTTATGAAACAACATGACAATAACATCGTAATTATTAGTGTTTTTGATTCATGCTAGTACTTGAGTTAATCTGCTGAAGTGACTTTATAGTTGCTATGGTAACTCATGCACTATAGTAACATTAACAATGCGCATACCAGTTTAAAAACCTAATGTTAACGTTATAGTATTACCCAAGAGCAGAATGACCGAGAGGCCACACTCAATAGAACGTTCCATTGCAACAGCAGTGCCCAGCAACAGCCCCGTTATTCCGCCATTTTGGAGTGAAAGCGATCGGTCTTTCATTGGATCTCATTGTTGTCATGATGGCAAGCAGCTGCTTTGTTTTTTACTTATTTATTTAAAAAGCGCATTAAAACTGAGATACAACCTAAAAGACGACAATACAACACTTACTATCACAATCATCAGCACTTTTAATTGTTTTACAGACATATAATATGCTGTCCCTGCTGAAAAATCCAGCTTAAACCAGCCTAGGCTGGTTGCCTGGTTTTAGAGGGGTTTTGGCCATTTCCAGGCTGGTTTCCAGCCATTTCCAGCCTGGTCTTAGCTGGTCAGGCTGGAAAATGACCAGCCAAATCTAGCTAAAACCAGTTTGAACAGCCTGGTTTAAGCTGGATATAGCTGGTTTTGGCTGGACTCCCAGCTTGGCTAGGCTGGTCAAGCTGGTTTAAGCTGGTTATCTCCCAGCCTGACCAGCTAAGACCAGGCTGGAAATGGCTGGAAACCAGCCTGGAAGTGGCCAAACCCCCTCTAAAACCAGCCTGGTCGACCAGCTAAAACCAGCCAACCAGCCTAGGCTAGTTTAAGCATTTTCAGCAGGGGTTCTAATTTAATTTTAATTCCAAAATGGACTTAGGTCACTTACTGCATTCACCATACGGCAAAGCATCTCCAACTCGCACTAAACACTCGGCTTATGCTAGTTTTGTTGAATAAAATCAGCAAATAATGCAAAAGAAATATGACAACGAGATGCTGCCCTGCCAGAAACTTGTATTATTGTCGGCTAGTGAACGAGTCGTTCATAACGGGATTCATTCACAAACGAGTCGCTCCATCCGTCAGCAAGAGAAGTGAAAGCAGGAGAGGAGCTGTGTTTCAGGACATGATTAGGTCAAATTTAACAGGGAGGGTGGATAGTACATTTCTGTACACACAAACACAAGCTTTTTGTCAGGAATGCCTGTGCGGTCACTGATCCATCAATGTAGAAAAGTGATGTAAAATTATCATTTTCATAATTAGAAAAAAAAAATTACATACTAACATCCAGGAAAACTCCCGATCGTAGATATATGTGTATATGTGTATATCTCTGGCTTTGGATGGCCACAGTCCTCCACTGTACCTTGGTCCCGCATTCATTTCAAAGAAGCGCTACCCTGTAGCAAGATGGCGGCGCTATTGACGCATTCCGTCCAATAGACAACAATAGGCCAGGCGAATGTATATATCTATGCAGTGAGGTAATGACATCCGATGCAGTTGAGAGTTTGTTGTTGTATCAGAGATAAGTTATATTAATTACATATTAAGTTTATTACGTACATAATGCTTTCAGCATATTATAACAGCTCGACACCCAGTGATAAGCACAGTAATTCTGCAAAACTAGCGTTAAAGTGAGCGGCGTTCATCTGACAGGTCCATTTGCATTAGCACCCTCCCATATTGGATAAGACGCAATGGCCAAGCATCCAGCCCCAAATATACAATCTTATTGACACTCCAAGTGTTTTAAAAAGAGAGAAGTTAAAGCTTATAAGTGTTTAGATGCCTACAATTTTGTTCTGTGTGGTCATGTGCAAGAAATAATGCTCCATGATTACCAGATTCAAAACTTTGTAGTGCTAAAACTCGAGGTTCTGCCTAGCTAAAGACAAGGAAAGAAGACGGAGCTGTACAAGGCCTGGGTAATCATTAAACAAGCAAAACTAATGCATTCTGACAGCGAACTGCACTTGTACAGCAGGGTGTGTGAACGTACATGTTTACATTTCTTTCTTAGCATGTAGTATCCGCAGTTTAATTCACCATATTGAACTGTTTTTGCTGAAATCATTGCTGCAATCAAAAACAAGTAATGTGTCTGATTCAGCATAGCCTGAACTTACCTCTTAAGTTCCCTTAACCTTAACTTACTGATATAAAATGAGAACAGCCGAGTCCAGCATTTTTAATTAGGTCCTCACTACATTCAGCTCTTCTGATAGCTGTTAGCCAAAGACATCTGCGGTTGGCATTTAACGCAGTGTGGTGTACGGTAAAAGTTAAGTTTCCTATTTTTGGACTTACGATTTTGGCATCCTACCGAAGAACACGACATGTTTGCTGTTGCAACCAGTCTCTTTTTGCAACTGGTATGCGCGGTTGAACGCGTGTGACATCATGTGTGACGTAGGTTGGTAATGCCCCTATAGATACAGCTGCAGCAATCATTACCCAAGTGTTTAAATACTATACAGTATAACACAGTTTGCATAGCTCTAAACACTATAGAATTTACTATAAATTACTATAGTATATTCTTTCATTGGGAAGTTTGTAGTTTGATAACCTAAACTTATCAAAGAGGCGTGGGGGCCAAGGTGTTTAAAGTCCCCTCCCGGGGGGCAGGGGGAAAACGCCTGTGCTGGGGCCAAGCCGGCCGATGCATTTTAAGAGCAGCAAGGTGGCGCAGTGGGTAGCACAATCACCTCACAGCAAAAAAAGTTGCTGGTTCGAGCGCAGGCTGGGTCAGTTGGCATTTCTGTGTTTGCATGTTCTCCCCATGTTTGCGTGGGTTTCCCCCACAAGTCCAAAGACATGCGCTATAGGTGAATTAAATAAGCTAAATTGGCCGTAGTGTATGCGAGTGTTTGCAAGAGTGAGTGGGTGTTTCCCAGTGTTGGGTTGCGGCTGAAAATGCATTGACTGTGTTAAACGTGCTGGATAGGTTGGCGGTTTATACCACTGTGGCGACCACTGATGAATAAAGGGACTAAGCCAAAAAGACAATGAATGAATTCATAAATGTACTCATCTAATTAGTTAGTGGGTAAATATTTATTATTTTTACTTGTGAATTTACAAATTGTTTTGAATTTACAAATTGGATTTTGTAATTGTGAATTGTGCTGGGCATGTTTGAGCTTTATCTTTGCCAACATATTATTTTTGAGACTTATCTAATTGCATAAATTATCATTTCAGCAATAATTATTAGTCCATCTCTTCAACCTCACAGCCTCTTTTCTTATGTGAGAACCATGAAAAAGGCAGAAGACCCCCCTCACAGCATGACATTTCATTAAATTACACAGATTAATATTATAAATACTTTTAAATTCAGCAAACTTCTAAAATGTGCCTCCAAAAATAGGCTCTCATTAATTTTTACAGAATTAATTTAAACTGGTGGCTGAGCAAGGGAATCATTTTAGGGGTGAAACGGGGTAACAGGCTGACAATTTTTTTTTTGTGATTGCAAATTTAACTACTAGTTGCTAGGCAACCTGTGCTTCCACAAATGACCCCCCACACAAAATTAGCCACACAGACTCTACATACATGCAAAGTTTGATGAATTTGAACAGAAACACCAGCAGTAGTTAGTCTAATGAAGAGAAGCTCAGCTGAAGTCAAGCGCCAGACCTTCTTTTATGCCTTTTATTGTATACAGTGAGATACTGAAACAAAGAGTAGCAGAGAAAACTTGCCGGTACATGAATCCGTTAACAGTAACTGTGCACAAGGACTGCTAACATCCTTTCATAGATAATACTGTTACTCATACGTTTTCCTTCCCTTTTAAAAATCATAAATAACAGCGTTCCATATGCACCTATTAGTCCATTTTATGATGGGTTTCCAAAGCAGGAGCAGTCTTAAACACGGATACGATGTCGTCCACCATTTTTTTCCCTCACAGTTTGCTTTACTTTAAGTCCCAGTTACGCCAAAACCAATTGGATTGATTGCAAATAGGAGATTTTCATATAAACATTTGATCAACTCAAGAGTGTTTATCTTTATTTGCGAGAATTATCTAAAATTTGAATAGATATATTTGATCTGCTTGCCAACTCTATAGCCAATATGAATGTTTTCATGAAAAGTGCGGCATTTCAAAGCATTAACAAGTCAATTTAGTGAAGAACGCAAAGGTGACGGTGAGCATGACCTTTCATTAACGGAATTAACAAACACAAGAAACAAGAGGAGATCTTATGAAGAAATCAACAACTTGTGGGCAAAACGTAACCTTCACATCAGACATCCATCATAAATAATTCTGATTTCAATTCACTAGAACGCTTGCTTTCCCAAAAAAAAAAAAAAAAAAAGAGAGGAACGAAAATTGGGTTGAAAACTCGGAAGAATGCGATGTCATCCACTATTTTTTTCTCACAGTTTACTTTACTTGAAGACCCAGTTTTGCAAAACCCAATCAGACCTATCGCAAGTGGGAGATTTTCATATAAACATTTGATCAACCCAAGAGTGTTTATCTTTATTTGCGAGAATTAAAATGTTAATAATTATATTTGATCTGCTTGCTATCTCTATGGCAAATATGAATGTTTTTATGAAAAGTGCGGCATTTCAAAGCATTAACAAGGTCAATTTAGTGAAGAACGCAAAGGCGTCTGTTAGCATGACCTTTCTTTAACGGTATAAACAAACGAAAATTAAACACGCACACAAAACAAGAGGAGATCATATGAAGAAATCAACAACTTGTGGGCGAAACGTAACCTTCACATCAGACATCCATCATAAGTAATTCTGATTTCAATCCACTGGAACAGAACGTTTGCTCCCCCCCCCCCCCAAAAAACCGAACAAAAATCGGGTTGAAAATTGGGCGCAGTCTTCAACACAGCAGCAATGTCGTTCACCATTTTTTTCTCATAGTTGGCTTTACTTTAAGTCCTAGTTTTGCCAAAACCAATTGGATTGATTGCAAGTAGGAGATTTTCATAAACATTCGATCAACCCAAGAGATTGTTTTGTTTTTCAAGAATTATTTAAAATTTGAACAAATAAATTTGACCTTCTTGTCATCCCTATAACGAATATGAAAAGTGCGGTATTTCTAAGCAATAACAAGGTCAATTTAGTGAAGAACGCAAAGGCGTCTGTGAGCATGACCTTTCATTAACGGAATAAACAAACGGAAATCAAAAAAACACACAAAACAAGAGGAGATCATATGAAGAAAGCAACAACTTGAGGGGGAAATGTAACCTTCACATCACACATCCATCATTAATAATTCTGATTACATTCCGCTGGAACGCTTGCTTTCCCAAACAAAACGAGGAACAAAAATTGGGTTGAAAATTGGGCGCAGTCTTTAGCACAGATGGGATGTCGTCCACCATTTTTTCCTCACAGTTTGCTTTACTTTAAGTCCCAGTTTTGACAAAACCAATTGGACCGATCGTAAGTGGGAGATTTTCATATAAACAATTTGATCAATCCAAGAGTGTTTATCTTTGTTTACAAAAATTATCTTAAATTTGAATAAGTATATTTGATCTGCTTGCCATCCCTATAGCAAATATGAATGTTTTCATGAAAAGTGCGGTTTTTCTAAGCATTAACAAGGTCAATTTAGTGAAGAACGCAAAGGCGACTATGAGCATGACCTTTCATCAACGGAATAAACAAACTGAAATCAAACACACACAAAACAAAGAGGAGATCATATGAAGAAAGCAACAACTTGAGGGCGAAATGTAACCTTCACATCACACATCCATCATTAATAATTCTGATTCAATGGAACGCTAGCTTTCCCAAACAAAAACAAGGAAAGAAAAGTTGGTGCAGTCTTTAACACGGATGCAATGTCGTCCACCACTTTTTGCTCATAGTTCGCTTCACTTTCAGTCCTAGTTTTGCCAAAACGATTGGATTGATCTCAAGTGGAAGATTTTCATATAAACATTCGATCAACCTAAGGGTGTTTACCTTTGTTTATGAGAATTATGTAAAATGTCAATTAATGTATCTGATGTGCTTGCCATCCCTATGGCGAATATGAATGTTATCAGGAAAAGTGCGGCATTTCAAAGCACTAAAAAAGTCAATTTAGTTAAGAACGCAAAGGCGATCTCTCTTTAACGGAATTAACAAACACACAGGAAACAAGAGGAAATCTTATGAAGAAAACAACTTGTGGGCAAAACGTAACCTTCACATCACACATCCATCATAAATAATTCTGATTTCAATTCACTCAAACAGAACGCTTGTTTCCCCCCCTCAAAAAAAAAATACGAGGAACGAAATGTGGGCTGATGTAACACAAACACAATCTTGAGCTCCTTTTATTCAGTGTCAGATAAATAATCCGCCATGATCGCAGCATTTCAACGAAACGTCCGTGATCACAACACAAACTTTACAGGGCGCACCTTTTCATCTTGGTTAGGGGAAATTTAGTTAAAATAATGAGGTAAGGAGGTCTATTTTTGTACATCTGTAGTGCTTCACCTACTGAAATGGCTAAACCGCACGCAGTGCTCCCTAAAACTCAACTCATGCCCTAGCATTCAAACAACAACAAAAACAAAAACAGCTTTATGGCACATTAGCAAATTAAAGTAAAGGGCTCTGCAAATTCAGAGATCAAAACAAGGAGATGATAACGTCACATCCGCCCATGACTGAACCCAAACACAGCCCATCCTCATGTGAGGGTAGGTTCATTTGGTTTGTCAAATACAGAGACGAATCCGTCAATATCTGAGCGTGTAACAGTGAGGCACAGGGTCCTGACCGGCAGTCCTGGAGCATTTGCCTTGGGTAGCAGGCCAACAACCAAAACAATGTTCCTAATACTGTTCCCTTTTTCCTTTGTAACAGTGCAGTATCTCAGCCAGCACTCGGGCTGATGGAGAGAATGAGAAGAGTCCTGTTGTGACCCTAGTGAATGAGCCGAACACCATTGCCCCCATTCTCCACCACAATCCCGTAGTTCCTCTCCAGAAAGGCAGGGGGCGCATGTGAGAAACTGCAGGCTTTTTTTCCTTTGTAACAGTGGAGTATCTCGGCCAGCACTCGGGCTGATAGAGAGAATGAGAGGAGTCCTGTTGTGACCCCAGTGAATGGGTCGAACACCATTGCCCGCATTCTCCACCACAATCCTGTAGTTCCTCTCTGTAAAGGCAGGGGGCGCATGTGAGAAACTGCGGGATGTAAAAAAACACAAACAAACAGAAGATAATGCAACAATACTCCAAGGTAAAGTAGTACTGGAAGCAGCCACTGCTGTAGACGCACTCGGTCCTTTCCAACATGCGCGTATCATCGCCTCGATCCTTAAGGTTGAAACTTAAAAAGACAGCACAGGTTTAAGAAAGCACAGGGTGGGACGCACTCTCTCGCCTGTAGTGCGTGCAGCGATCGTCTTTTCAGTTTTTGCAGTATAATGAGATATTTCCGTGTAACACCACCCCCTGTCGATGAGTGCCGTTTGCGTCCGCTTGGCTTGGATCACCCCAGCTGTCCCTGCTAGGAACGTCCTCTCAGCCAGGAAGACACACTTTCCCGGCAAACAAGAGCCCCACTATTGTGAAGAAGATGGAGAGCACGAACAGTACATAAGAGGAGCCCACCACCGTGTTGTTGGGTAATTTGTATGGCTGTCCTCCTACTTCATTGATGTAGAATCCTATGGGGAATATAAGGGCGGCCATACAGAACAGGATCACTGGAGGAGAGAAAGAAACAAGTGTCATTATCAAGGCGATAAGAGGAACACAGATACACAATTGTATTGAAAATCATTTGAGATGAGATGATTAGCAAGAAAAGAGCAGCAGTAATAACAGGGGTTATACTATTGGCCAAACAGTAGCCCCTTTTACAAAGTGATACCTATAAATGTCTAAAAAATTACCAGGTAAATTAAAGAAAGCATTGCTCACACAGGCAAGGACATTTCAAGGACCGTTCACAGATCCAATCCAAAATACCAATGAATTCTGACATCATTAACCTGAAATAAACTCTAAATGGTCGTGCTTTGATTTGTAAACATTTCAAGAGTTCACACTTAGATAATGCTCATCTATGATAGCAGGTTGCTGTCCCGGGAGAAAACCCTGAGCTCGAGATAGATGGCCCCAAGGTTCCCGCCTGGTCAATGAGCATTAGGAGGGATACGAGATCAACTGAGTGCCCCAGTTTGTACTTTGGTTATTATGGTGGTGCTGATTGATTCAATGTGAATGTGTTAAGTACTTGTGTCTGTTATTACGCTTTATTTATGTGCATGTTTTTAGACTGTTAAACTGGAGGACCCGAGGAAAACCCACACAAACACGGGGAGAACATACAAACTTCGTGCAGAGAGTGCTGACTGGCTCGATTAGAACTTGGAACTGTGACCCTCTTGCTGCGAGGCTAGCCACTGAGCCAGCATGTTGTCTGATCATGGAAAGAGGAGGAGGGAGAAGGGAAGGATGAGGGGCGGGGGGTTCCAAAAACGAAGATATTAAATGAAGTTTAGGCAGGATATTTGTAGTAGTTTTAGAATGATCTGATAGGCTAGCTAATGATTAGCGATAAGGATCAGTTATAGTCGATCATATCACATGCTCCTCTCGAAATTAGTTGGGAAACTAAAAGGGAGTCATGTGGTTAAGGGTTTCATTTTTATTTAAAATTTTGATCACTTTATTTTGATGGTCCATTTGTTGAATTTAAGTTACATTGCATCTACATGCCAACTGATTCTCATTGAATCATAAGTAGACTATTAGGTTAGGGTTAAAGTTAGGCTTAGTGTAAGTAGACATGTACTTGCAAAGTTTCTTATAGTCAGTGAAATGTCTGTTGAAGGAGCAATGTCAACAGATATTAAGCAGAGAGTCTACTAATACTCAAGTGGACCATCAAAATAGTGTGTTACCAAAGTTTTAGCGTTCATGTAGCTGCTTTTGACCAAGAGACAGACCAAATAACTATAGGGAAAAAATAAATAAATAAAAGTAATCGCCACCATCCGAAGTCAGAGGCGCTAACCTCTGTAATGCACTTCTATCTGGGCTTCCTTCTAAACTTCTCGATAAACTCCAACTGGTTCAGAACCATGCAGCTCGTGTCATCTCTAGAACTTCATCTCACGAGCATGTCACACCACTTCTTTATCAGCTACACTAGCTTCCGATAAAGCTTCAGATTGATTTTAAAATACTACTACTCGCTTTCAAAGCTCTTGCTCCACATCGATTCCAGATCTTTTAGCTCCGCGGCTTCGTGACTATGGAACTCGCTTCTCCCTGATCTAAAGAGCAGTGATAGTCTTCACACTTTTAAATCTCGTGTCAAGAGCCATCTTTTTAAGCCGGGTTTCTTTTGACTATCTTTTATCATTTTATACTCACGATGTGTTTGTAATTGCAACTCCTTACATGCATTTCAAATCTTGTTTGGCAACATTTTATAAATTGTTTTGATTTGTTCTGTTATGACTGTTGATGCTTGTTGTAAGGCGACCTTGGGTGTCCAGAAAGGCGCTATTTACAAATAAAATGAATAATTATTTTTATTAACCGCAGCTAAAAACAGTTTTGCTTACACATTAGACAACATTACAAATATTAATCATATGAAGAAACACTTTCGCATATCGAGATCTATGGTCGAGATGTACATTAGAGTGTGTGCTGCAGCTTTTGCGTTTTTAAAACGAAAGTCTACTGGTGTTGTAGGCTACTCAAATCTGACTTACAGGATCGCTTTATGTACACGCACACCATGCAACTAAATGCAGAGTGTGCAGGTAATCTCACAACAGTTAATCAATAGCATTTTATTAATATATTTTTCCACAATTGAAACTAAGCAGGAACATAGAAATGTTATCAGACTAACAGGCAGCAGCTAAATGTGTCTGGAGAATCATTCAAAGGCGTTTATTTTCATAAACAGCGCTGAATGTTCTGATTGGCTGGAGTGGATATTTCACATAAGCAGATTTCATTCATTCCAGGCAATTTTCCTTCTGCGTTCACACAGCGCAGGATTCTGGCAAATGACCAGTGATGTTACCACTGCTCATTGCCAGAACGAATTAATCGAAATTTTCACATAGGGCTGTTAATTTTTCAGTAAAGTCTGTATGTAGGAAAAGTGCTAGTAACATACACAGAATTGGACATTTAGGAAAAGCTGTTCAATAGTTTTTACCATTTTATACCAAGAGGGAGCACCCAAAAACACAGGGGGTGTTTACAGATTACACTATTAACTGTCAACATTGACCACTATATGGATTAACCAAAGGGATGAGCAAACTTGGTCCTGGAGGGTTGGTGTCCTGCAGAGTTTCGCTCCAATACTAATCAAGCACACCTGAATATGCTAATCAGTGTCTTCAAGATCACTTGAAAGCTTGATTAGGGTTGGAGCTAAACTCTGCAGGAGATCAGCCCTCCACGATGGAGTTTGCCCAGTCCCTGTATAACCCTGTACAGATTATTTCTAGTCTTATTACATTAGCAGTAGAGCTGCACGATTCTAGCTAAAATGAGAATTGCTTAATGCTTAAAATAAAGATTACGATTTTCTCACGATTCTGTATATGTAAAATAAAGTTATAGTAAAAACAAACGGTCACACTTTATAATAAGGTTCATTAGTTAATGTTACTTAATGCATTTACTAACATGAACAAACAATGAACAATACATTTACCACAGTATTTGTTTATGTTAGTAACCATTAGTTAATGAAAATCATTGTGAGTTCATGTTAACTTAGTGCATTAACTAATGTTAACAAGCATGAGTTTGGATGTTAATTATGCATTAGTAAATGTTCAATTATGATTAATAAATGCTGTACAAGTGTTGTTCATGATTAGATCATGTTAGTAAATGCATTAACTAATGAACCTTATTGTAAAGTGTTACCAAACAAACATGTTTTATTATATGTAGGTCTACTGGTTTTTATAAATAATTCTATTCTACTTATAATAATTCTGATGTTGAATTATTATGTTTGAGATATATGCTTGCAATCTGTCATATTAGACAAAATTATTCACTGGTAAAATCAGACATTTGCCATTATCAAATTATATTCAACAATATATAGGCTAGAGTTGTTATATTGACATTGTAAACATTTATTTTCATGCACAACTGTGGGTTCGCTATAAAAGAAAAAACATATCAAATGCTTGCCGTAATCATAACTCTAAAATGCGATATGATCATTTAAATGAAGTGCACACTTTCGGTTTCATTCTGACTTCTAAGTGCTTGTTCATTCTTCGCACGGCTCCCAAACGATCACTCTGTGCAACAAACTGAATATTATTTACTTACTATTACTTAATATTATTATTTAATATTAATATTATGAACTGTATTACCTGTTACTTGCAACATATGGAGGTTCTGTTCACTAAAGACGCGAGCCCTCTCTGTGATATCAGCTCACGGTCAGCACGTCATGTGTGATTTCCCGGCCACGAAAACATCATTATATGAAGACAAAAATGACATTTTTAGGTGACTTATACCTTATAAATACAGTATGTGACCCTTTCAACATCATTTGGAGGCGTCAATGTCGCTGATCAATGTGTGTGAAACTCGTGCATCCGCCTTTTCTTCTCTCCTGAACTTGAAAATATGCTTGACAGAATCGTAGAAATGCTGGATTAAGATCGTCTAGGGCAGGGGTTCCCAAACTTTTCAGCCCGCGACCCCCAAAATAACAATGCCAGTGACTCGCGACCCCCAATATCCTCTGAGGTGGTTATAAATACAGAAACCTTGCATGCAATGACGCAGACACACCAATTAAATTTGTGTCAGTGCTTTAAATGTGCCAGAAAGTATAACCTGATGCTATAAAATCAAAATGCATCTGCCTTTAATATAATGTAATTACCCCAGGGGTCGCAATCCAATAGAACTAGTAACTATAAGCTACTATAGTAACTATATAGTATATAGTAACTATAAACGACTATTTTTATTTTCAGTATAGTTATGGATAAAATATGTTAATTCTTATGGTTTAATAAAAATAAATAGATTTTTGGAAATCACCAGGCGACCCTCTTTCATTGCCCCGCGACCCCTCGGGGGGTCCCGACCCCCACATTGAGAACCACTGGTCTAGGGGGTCGAATCGAGATCGCGATCTTTTAACGATTAATTGTGCAGCTCTAATAAGCGGTCACTGATTTAACCTTTAGTAGTAAATATTAAGAGTTACAAATGTAGCCGGATTTATTAGCCCCCCCGAGTTAATAGCTCCCCTGTTTATTTTTTCCCCAATTTCTGTTTACCAGAGAGAAGATTTCTTCAACACATTCCTTAACATGATAGTTTTAATAACTCATTTCTAATAAGTAATTTATTTTATCTTTGCCATGATAGCAGTGAATAATATTTTACTAGATATTTTTCTATATCATATAATCTCAACCAATGCACACGGTCTGAGCCGAATGGACCCAGGTCCAACATGAGACCTAAAAATGTAGGACACCTAAACCCGTTTTCACTAAAACCCACAGAGACAAACATTAAGACAAAACACTATATGCTAATTAGATAAGATGTTATGAGTTTCCAGCGTCAAGCATATTCGTCTTCTCCCAATGAAGGTGAATCTGCAGCTGGATGTGTAGTGTTGAGGACAAATCTGACAACTTGGTTTACAACTGAACAAGTTAATCCTTTC